CGTTAGCTTCACCGGCTAACGTTAGCTTCACCAGTCCTGGTACTGACACCAGGGCTAACGTTAGCTTCACCAGTCCTGGTACTGAAAGTCAATGATGTGAGCTCACAGAGATGCAGTAGCTGTTGGTCCACTGCTGCCTCCTGTGGTCAGTTTGTGTCACTGATGTTCAGACTGGTCCAGGTGTTCTCTCTTTTCTGCTGCAGTTCTCATTCTCTCCACTTGTCCTTCTTTCATGGCAGTGGTGCAGACGACCTGTTGCCCATCCTGTCCTTCGTGGCCCTGCGGAGTCAGTGTCCTCAGCTGGTGTCCGAGTGTGCTGCTCTGGAGGAGTTCATTCATGAAGGGTGAGTCATGGTGGGGGTGTGGGGGGGGGCTGAGTCATGGTTTCCACTGTTAACATCAAAAACAGAGTGTGATTTGACAATGGGTGCAGCGTTGGAGGAGGTCGTCAGTTGCGTGTCCTTTGGTCAAACATGTCAACTGATCTGAAAACACGTGACGGTCCAACAATGTGGACGCTGCAGTCTCCACAACGACGGTCTCCCTTAGCAACAGATCTGTTGTTGTGGCTACGTCTGGTGTCAACAGCACGTTAATGTCATCCAGTTGTTCTGCAAACAATTGTTTGTCTTCGTCTGGACAAACACCAGGAGGACCAGGACAAAAGACAACACTGTGGACAATATTTGGACATTCTGTCCTCCAAGAACAATTGACTAATACGTTTTGATTTTCTCAAAAAATGTAAATAAATACTGAGGGAACAGTTGACAGTTAGCCAAGAAGATCACACTTTCTAAGAGGTTTCTAAAGGTTAGGTTAAAAGTAGCATATTGCTAACATCATTGTTATATCAAACAGGTGTTGAGGACAAAGTTGCCTACAAAGAGCTAAATGTTAAATTAGCTTAGACAAATTTAACCTAAACCATGTCCAGAAGATGGCTAAATGTTAGCTTGAACTGGGTTCAAAACAAGCTACAGTTTGTAAAGAGTCAGTGAAGACGACCAGACCAAAAACTCTGATCAGAAGACGGTCAAATTAGTCACTTTGGTAGAGCTAACTAAAAGTTAGCATGGAGCTAGCTGAAAGGTTAGCTGAACAGGACAGACAAGTGTCAGGACAGGGTTAAAGTTTAGTCTTAGACTTCAAAGTTCTGTCAGAGGAATTCAACAGAACCAAACCAAAACAGAACCAGACCAAACCCTCTGTGGGTGGAGCTGGGACCTCCACCCACAGAGGTCTTCAGAGCCAGGACCTCCACCCACCGCCAGCAGATGGATTTGGTTCTTCTGCTCTAGGTTTGAGTTAGTGATGATGACGATGATGAAGGTCGCTCTGCTCCGTAAACACAACAGTAATAGTGAAATACATTCATCCTGGAGCTGCTATACTTGTGGGGACACTGTCCCCATGGGGACATTTTTCAGGTCTTGGGTTAGGTTCAGATTAGGGTTGGGGTTAGTTGACATTAGAGGAAGGTTAGGATTAGATTAGGTTGGGGTTAGTTGACATTAGAGGAAGACGCTAGACATGTCTGTGTGAGGTGTTAACAAAAACCTGTCTGTGTGTGTGTGTGTGTGTGTGTCAGGTATCTGATTGGAGAGGAGGGCTACTGTCTGACATCACTGCAGAGTTCTCTGGCCTACGTTGAGTCACTTCACGCAGCAGGAGCTCAGCTTCCTCCTGACACCCTCCTCTGAAGAAGGTGAGTCTTGGAGCCCACACCATCTGACGTATGGACTGGTGAACCATGAAGACCAGTGACAGTGTTGACAGTGTAGGTGAGATGGTCCAGGACTGTTGTCAGGGTCTTCACAATGTCAGGGGTCAGAGGTCAGTGATTTGTGGTGAACTCACCTCCTCTGGCTCCACATGCTCACTGACCACAGGAGGCAGCAGTGGACCGGCCACCTGTGTGTGTCCTGGTGAGAGAAATTAATGTGGGAGGAGCCTAGGAACCAAGGAAAGCCTCCTTGTGGTTAGGAGGGGTATGACACTGAAACCTGGGAAGATGTTTTTCCCCTGCTTCTAAAAAAACTCTGGAATTTTCATCGATTCTAGTTCTTGCAATTTTTGAAAATGGTTGGGGAAAAAAGAACTTTTCATTCATGGAACAGCAGAAAAGTCTGATCATTTATTAGCCAATCAGACCCTCGGCTGCTGTCACATGACAGAAGAACAGTTTTTACACTAGTCGCCATCTTTTTATTGGACGATTGTTTTCATCAGCCTTTTATTAGAAGCACTTGGATGGTGACGTGTTCATGATCTTTTTTTTTAAGATGAGTCACTGGGGGGCGCTGAGGGGACCAACGTGTGATGATGGTGTGTTTATCGTTTGTTCATAACTTCTGCACTTTTGTTTGTTTTGAGCCATCTTTTAACCTTGGGTGTGTTTGTATCAGATGAGGTAGTGGTGGCGCTGTGCTCAAGTTTAGAACAAACATGAAAACATGGCTTTCCTTTTTTTCAGAACATCATTTTTAGAGCTCTTTCTCAAACAAATAAAGTGAGGACTTTCTTAAAAGATTAAAAAAAACTACTGAAGAGATGAGACATTTTACTCCATTAAAAACAACAAAGACTTTTTTGTTTATGTTGATTTTCCTGCTGCATGTGAAGGCATCGGAACTGTCAGAAAAAATGTTATCTGTTAAAATGGACTGAAAATATTCATTAAAGGGACAATTGTGTTTTTTAGTTTTTGGCTCTGTTTTTTTTTTTTTTTTTGGGAAACATTTGATGAAAAACATCAGTGAACATTTACTGAAGAATAGTTTTTACTTGTATAAAAAAAATTAAATTAAAATCCTGCTGTTTGCAAAGTCTATGGACTTTGGTTTGGGAGAGTGGTTTAAAACCTCATCTTTAAAGCAGTGAAAAATCCAGAACTGCCCCTTTAACAGCACATAAACAACAGACTATTTAAATTTTGATATCTTCATTTGCATTTTTCTTTATTTTTCTTTGTCTGAAATGAATGGAATGTCAAGTGTTTTTATTCAGAACCAGGAGACGATGACAAACAACACTCAGAATAAAGAAACAGAGTAAAAAAAAAACCAACATTTGACTCAGGCTAAAAATCAGGGCGGAGCCTGGAGCCCGAAGTCAGCCGTGATTGGACCAGAGACTCTGGGGGTCTTTAGGGTCTAGGCTCTCAGGTCTTCAGTAGTCCTGACGTTGAAGACGGTGTGGGAACAGTTCCTCTTCTCCACCAGCCTGGCCACAAACTCCCCCAGCTCCAGGTGGTTCAGGAACCCAGGAGCCATCCGCTCTGGAGAGGCCACGCCCGCATCGATCTTCACCTGCAGAGGAGACGCAGCTGTTGAAGGTGAGGGGGTGCCATGTTGCCAGCAGGTGATGCTGTGGCTCGTATAAACCTGTGTGTGTACTGTGATGACAGAGCTTCGACCTGGTTGAGTTTACAGGCTGTTTCAGGGTACTCCTCCCTCAGGATCTGACAGAAGGACAGGGTACTGGCTGCTCCCACCGTCAGGAACCCTGTTCCAGGCATCAGCAGCTTCTCTGCGCCCCCTGTGGAGAAACACAGCAGTTACACTGTCACAGAAACACAATGTTATTGTGGTGTGTTTTCCACTTCACTAACAGGAAACTGAAGTCTGCTCAAACCAACGCACCAAACCTCACAGAAAAGACATCAGTGGTTTCAGCTCCCAGAGACAGAGCAGGTGTCCATCACTGATTTCTAATCTTCTCTGATTTCAGTGACACAAACTGACCACAGGAGGCAGCGTGATTTGGGTTCGAACCCCTTTACATTGACAGTGTGTGAGGAGGACCTCGGTGTCTGTAGGACTGACCTGTGACGAAGGTGTAGGTCCGGTCGGAGTCGTCCTTCACCAGAGGAAAGAAAGCTTTCCACGACACAAAGGTGCTGAACAGTAACGTGTCCATAACCTGTGGACGAGCGGAGAACCAGACGGTCATGGGTCACGACCGAAACACCTGGGCTCCGAGGACCAGATCTGGTTCTTGGACCAGCAAAATTCTTACCCAGTGGAGGTCTTTGAGGGTCTGGCTGTGTGGGGGTCCACCCTGCCACCAGCTGAACCCCAGAGAGGACACGATGTCTGTCACTTTCCCCACAGTGTCCAGCAGGGCGGCCTTAGCCTGCTCTGCTCCGACCTCTGAGCCTGGAGGAGGAAGGAATCAGAGAGTGATGTCCTCTATGGACTTTGGTCTGAGTGAGAATAAATACAATATGTATGTACATATAGTTAATATAATTGTAAGCTGTTCTCTATGTGATGGTTGGATGGATGGATGGATGGTTGGTCGGTTGGTCGACAGTGACTCACCCACACTCCCCACTATAGTGGTGAGGTTTTCCTTTGTATCGGGGGAGACGAATGTTCGGAGCCTCTCTAGTCGGCTGCTGTCCCGGGAAATGACTGCCACTTTAAAACCTACACACACACACACACACACACACACACAAACACACACACACACAGAGAGAGAGAGAGCAGCACCTTAACCACAGAAACCAGAAAACTAATCCTCCTGACACAGAAATGATCTGTTTATCAAGGTCAGCAGAGGATGAAGCAGCAGATGGTACCATCACCCATCAGTACCATCACCCATCAGTACCATCACCCATCAGTACCATCAGTACCAGCACTGTGTAACCCTCTAACATCATTGGTCTCCATCAGTGAACCTGTGGAGGTCAGTAACCAGCACTGACGTCCCAATTAAATATTTTTAAAGAATTTAAAACGACTTTTTAAATAAATAAATACATAAATAAAAGCCTCTTCAGGCGAAGGTCCAAAAGTTCCTCCTGACTTTGGTCTGAACTTTGTCTTTCTGCTGCCTCAGGGTCTGATGTCTCACCTTTGTCCAGCAGAGCCTTGACGATTCCTGATCCAACAGTTCCCGCTCCTCCCAGCGCCAGGACCAGTCTGTCAGAGTTGGACATCCTGATGGACGGATGAGAGATGCTTGGGGCTGCGCGGGAACTCCCTTTTTATTCAAAGTCTGTCCCTTAGCCCCGCCCCACTGTCGTCGCTGTCACTGTAACCACGCCCCCACGGTGAACTAATTCGCGCCTGCCCCTCCACCCCCCCAACACGAAAAAAAATAAATCTGTCTCTTGTCGTCTGGGCGGTTCCAGTTTGTTTTCTCAATCTTCATCGTGGTTTATCGATCATTATCAAAAATTTTTTTAAATATATGAATTAGGGAATAAGTTGCTGCGGAGGAATACTGTCAGATGTAGGAAATGCTTAATTTTTTTTCTACTTTTCTCTATTTTGTCTTTATTTTGGCTGCTTATATGTAGATAGAGTTAACTTTTATCTTATTTGCCTAGATGTTCCATCCGGGTTATTTTATTTCTGTGATATCTGGACAATGTTTAGCTGACGTGTAGATAGGTTTTTAAGTAACATTTCGATGTTATGTTTTTATCAATAATTTCCGTTTCTTTATTTTTGGGTCTACATATATACTTAATATTTTTAACTTTCACCTGTCTCCTTACTATTTTTCTTTTGTCGATTGTTATGTTTGTAAACACTCTAAGTTAAGTGGTGTAAAGATACCGCTGTTTTATAACATGATTTTATTTGAAAGTGCTGCCATCTGGTGGACATATGTGATTATAGTCACTTCGAGATGATTTTAATTACAATTTTTGATGAAATTACAATTTTACTCGACGGTGACATCACGTGCCGTCGCTTTCATCACGTACATTTCAGGTTGTTTCTCTCCTGATCTTATAAACTGTTGTCAAAAGTTCGAGGTTCATTTTATGTTTTTGTTGGAAGGAGTTTTTAATTTAATTTCGTGTTTTATGTGTATTAATTTATCTTTTTATGTGTCCAATCTGGACATTTTGGTCAGTTGGCTAACCGTAGCTACTGTTGTTGTTAGCTACTTTCTGATACTTTTGATATATTCGTAGTTTTTTCCGTGTCATTATCTAAAAAGCTCACTGGATACACAAAGTCTAACTCACAAGACCCACAAGACAAGAACGTTGATTTTAACTCAGTTTATATCCTGATCATTGCGTCATTAGAACTATGTTTTGGTTTTTATAACAACTTGACAAGTAATCTTCAACTAGCTAACCCCACCCCGTCGGACTGTCCTTGTTGGTACACTACGCAATCCCATTTGTCTCTGGGCAGATCTGAGTCACGTGACTCTGTTTACTTTCTTTTGTCATAATTCGAGCGATTCTCAGTTTTGCGGTGTAACCGGAAGTGTGTGTTGGGAAATTATCGATGAGCACCTGAAGATTCAGACTCAGGTCTGTGTTTTTTTAGTAAAACGTTAAAGAAACATGATGTTTTTCACATGTCTTTGTTACCGCACAGGGCTAACGGCAGTGTAGCTTTATCCTTGCCTTGACGTCCCTTTCAAAATTACATTAGTAACAATTTATACATTTTATTATGGGAATAACGTATTATATGCCAGCGTGTTAACCATTTTTTAACTTTTAGGGAGACGCCTTTTAATTCGGCATCAGTCCTGGACATGAACAGACACTTAAACGTCTTCTTCCCGAGTCTCTTCCTAGTGATTTTTCTACCGTGGCCCTTTTGGGGAAAAGTTTTTTTTTCTGAGTTTTTATGACAGCCGAAATGGAGACTGGTCTTTGTTTTTCTTAAACATTCACAACGAAGTGTTTTTACTAAAACACAGTCAGACGAAGCTGTCAGACGAGGACAAATCAGTGCTAATGTAAAAGAATTTCTGTACGGCGATCTTTCCTGGCCAGAGACACATCGTTGAGCTAACTCTAAATAAATCCCGTTTCTGTCTCTGTTGGGCTTAGTTTAATAATTGAGAATAATTTCTCTTTTCGTACATGTGTGTTTATATTTAAGTGAGACTTTTATTCCTTCAGTAAACATCAGTTTCACTTTCATGTTGTAGCCCAGGGAGGAGTTTTAGCTCCCGGTTGGACACAACAGTCGACTAACAATTGTTTTAATCTCGGTATTTTCGTGACTTCAGTTTAGTTACAGTCGGGATCAGTCTAAGAATTAAAGTATTTTAATGAAGTGGTTTAAATGAATGTTCTTAAATACATTGTGACATTTCCTCCATGACGTCAGTTAAAGTCAGGGGCGTTCACGGGAAGTTTATGACCAAAGAATGATGGTCGGCCTGGTATAGAGTCTGGTCCACAGTCCTGTGCTTTGGTTCATGAACAGAGGGAACTAATAGTTGTTTTTTTACTTCTGTTTGTCAACCACTTCCTTTGCTCTACAGTCATTGGTCACTGGGAGGGTCAGTCTTTATGTCAATGAGACCAGGCTTTAAAAGATGGTACAGAATGAGGTCGCCAACGTTTTCACACAGTCCTGACGCCTGTGTCTCGTCTCCGCAGACATGAATAGCGGCACACAGAGAGCCAGAGACCTGCTGACGGCCTATGACCTCAGCCTGGAGCAGCAGATCCTGGGTCGAGGCTCCAGCCTGGCCTGCAGAGACCAGGAACTATGGAAGAGGGTTGAAGGACTGCTGAGGGACAGAGACCCTCAGGAGATCCACTGCCTGGGTCTGGATCCTCTGACCGTCATGGAGGAGTCGCTGAAGATGGCAGTGACAACTGCAGCCAGCAGGGGGAGAGCGAAGACCAGAGGAGGACTGCAGGGCCTGGCTAAGGCCTTTGAGGTCCTGGAGCAGGCGGCCCTCAACCTGTACCTGGGTCCCTGGAGGGAGGAGTATAAAGTAGTAAAGGTGAGGGGGGGGGGGGTTATGAAATACATTTTTTAAACATGTTTATATTTGATCTGCTGATGGAGAAAATCCATCTGTTTCTTCTTTGTTTTCCTCGTCTTCTGTCTGCAGACGTACTCTGGGCTCTTCACCCACCACATCAAAGCGGTTCTGCCCCCCCCTCAGATCGAGCAGCTCTTCGGTCTGCTGGGGTACAGGTCCAGTCCGTCACAGCAGGAGCAGGTCCTCAGCGTCGCGCCGTCGTCTCCGGACGACTTCCTCCGTCTGTCCTGTGCCTTCTTCCTGGCCCGCTGTGAGTGTCGCCTCCTGGAGGAGGCTCTGGGGAAGCACAGGGGTGAGGCCCAGTGGGAGCTGAAGATGGTGCGAGAACGTCAGAGGGGACACGGCGTCCAGGTGGGTTTCTGCCTTCACACAAATGAATCATCAGTGGAAATAACTGGTCTTCAGTCTCCTGATCAAAGACCAGTTCCAGTCCACCTTGGCCTGGGTCCTGGTCTGGGTCTGGATTAGTTCTGGTTCTGTAATTTTGTTCATATTCTGATGGTCAAAGTTTTTTATTCTTTTTTTTTAATCTTAGAGTTTTATTTTAGACCAGTTGTTTCTGGACTTTGAACCAGTCAACACCAGATTCATGTCCCGTGTGTGTCCACAGGTGGCAGTAGAGAACAGTCAGAAGACCCTGAAGGTGAACCAGCTAGCCTTAGAGCCGTTTGAGGAGGAACCAGAAATGGACCTGTACACCGACGAGCACGTGAACGGAGGAGCGGCGGGGAGTCAGAACAGAGCCTGTGCCATGAAACCACCACTGGGTGGCGACAGAACCACAGCCTCCTCCAGCTCCTCACAGGTCTGTGTCTCCACACTCACCTGTCAGCTGACCAAGATGGAGGTCGGACGTCAGCTCAGCAGAGAAGACCCCGACACCAAGACAGGAAGTCTGCAGAACGACACCACCGGGTTCCTCAGTGAGAGCGCGGCGGCGGCGGCGGCGCCGGACGACAACCTCCGCAGCTGTCTCCTGTCTCCACCCCCCTATCATTG